CGAAATTGTATAAAATGCATATAAGTATACATAAAAAATTTGGAGACTCTAGCTTTAAAGATGTAGGAGATATAAATTTATTACTGGTTTTCGATAATGTTTTTAATCGATAACAAAATAACGGGGCAATTTATCGATATTTAAAGCAAAACTCGATATGCGTGTGCTATACACGGACCTAGGAAAACAAATTTCAAGTCTCTAGCTCCTATATCTTCTGAGATCGACGCGTTCAAACATACGGACAGACGGACGGACGGACAGACGGACGGACGGACAGATGCACAGAGCTGAATCCACTCAGCTCGTCGCCCTGATCAAGAATATATATACTTTGTGGGGTCTGCCACGCCTCCTTCTGTCTGTTACATACATTTAACAAAACCATTATACCCTGATTTCCCATTGAAAATGGGTTCAGGGTATAAAAAGCTGACAAAAGTTCAAAAATCTCAAGCATGTAAACACTTGGGTGCAAAGTTTTGGGCAGACCTGTAATAAGGCTGATGTCGAGTGGCCGCGATAAGCGATGCGATTCTATAACATTACAGAGTGAAAGCTATCCTCAAAGAGAGAAACTTGATTGTATTCAAATTGTAGTCATTGCGAGTATTCAAATTTTAGTTTCAGTCGCAATGTTTTCAGGAAAAACAGCAACGGGATCCGTCCAATACTATCAATATTTTTGATTATTGACAGTTCAAGTATAATTGAGAGCAAATCCAGACATATATACATAAATATATAAATAGTTATAAAACACACTGTTATTTAAGCTTGAATTACGAAAAAGAACATACAATATTTCACCCACTAACCAACGGTTATTTAAGCGCAGCTCGCAACAAAAACACACGCATCAGAAAAGCTTTATCATGCGATGAAGCGAGAAAGCGACTCAGAAATGCTTTCTCGCAACTCGATTTACTCTTCGCTTTGGCTCTCTTCTCGCTTCGCTTGCACTCTGACATGCTTAAGCGATTACATGTAAATCTGCATGCAGAGCTTTCGCGTACATTGTCGCTGAATATTATCGCATCGCTTATTGCGGCCACTTTGACATCAGCCCAGTGCTTAGCATGGGAAATAGGTCATGGCTATACGAATTGAGTTCGATTAACATAGACTCGCCTGGGCCGCAGTAGAATTACACTTGAAAGTAAATAGAGGAAAAGTGAGGGCACTAAATGACAATGGACAATGGACTATAAAACGCGAATAAAATATAGATTAAGCGATGTGATATGGTTGAGCAGTGCAAAGTGCTTATCGGAGAAGAAAATAACCAAATTATATGACATAGAGCTATCTCAGCCAACTCAGACAAATGTTTAGATTTGTCCATGATTTAACTTGATCTTGAGTACCAAATTCCCTACAAATACATATATAGATATCATATATGTAGACATATGTATATGACAGATGGTAAAGTTGTTTACGCTGATCTTGATAACGTTCATTTTGCCCTCCATTGCCGAAGCTTTGGCTAGCTAAGAGCTTGACCTTTCTCAAGGCCATACTTAAATGAAACCCGGTCTGTCAGCAAAGGCCCTGTTTTAGACTTGGCTAGTAAGGCGGGGCTAAGGGGGACCGGCTAGTCGATGCTAATATTATTTGCGCAGCGTGAATTATAAATAAAAATAGACGAAAACAAGGGAACAGAAGAGAAACGGCGAAAAACAAGCACATTAAAATGTCGAATTTTAAGAAATCAACGAAATTAAGCAAAATAACAAAAAAAAGAAGAAAAAAAAAAAACAAGAAGACCATTTAAATAAAATTTCAAATAAAAAATAAAAACCAGAAAAATAATTTCGAACAGTTGACGCGCTGCTGCTGCGTTCCGCTCGAGCTGCGCCGCGGCCACTGATCAAAGTTCAGTGGGGCAAAGTACAAAGTCTGCATAAGACACAAAAGAGAGAACCAAAGAGATGATTACTCTGCGCTCGTGCTCTCCCACTCTGTGGCCACTGGCCATATATCCAAGTGTGTGTGTGTGTGACTGCATGTGTGTGTGTGTATGTGTATCACTTGTTGTTTCGCACGTCGCGACGTTTGTTGACTTTTTCGCTGGCCAAACGCGACGACAATAACAAAGAGGACGACGACGACGAGAGCACAGTCAATACCGCTCACCCACTGTCACTGTCGCGCTCACACAAGAAGGCCAGGCCCACCGCAGGAACTACAAGCAAAAGCAAAAGCAAAGGCAAAGGCAAAGAGAGCAACAGATGATTTGCAGCTAATTGTTTTGAGCGAATGCAAATGCAAAACAATCGTAATTAGCGATTGTTAGCTTAGACGCGTGTGTGTGTAATTATGTGTGTATGTGTGTGTGCGTGTGTGTGTGTGTGTTTGTCTCTATTTGATTGTCTCGACACACCTATTATTGGACAATTAAAAACATATTAAAATCATGTTAGCAGACGCGCACAACGAATAGTTCAATGCTCTTGCGCGATAAGCTCAAGGGCTGTGTTAAGAGAGAGAGAGAGAGAGAGAGAGAGAGAGAGAGAGAGAGGGAGAGAGCAAATCAATTGAGCTTGTAGCTAGCGTAAAAGTAGAACAAATTTGCTTTAGTGACTTGCGACAAAGTACAAGTCAAATTTTACTTAATAAAAAAGATTTTTAAATGATTAAATTAAGTGAAATAAAAAAATAGTAAAAGTAAAATTAGCTTCATTAAAATTATGCATAAATACAAAATTTGAATATCAATAAAAATTATAGAAAAATCTTAAGAGCATTTAATTTTTAAGCAGAGCTGGCATATAAAATAATCGAGAATCAAATCAAAATTGTAAACATATATTGAGAACTATTCAAAAATATTATGAACTAGAGTCAAAGAGGTCTATAAATTTATGAATTCAACAGCTTGCATGGAGCTGATTATTAATTAGCTATATATGTATATATATTTATACTTATAGAGGTCTCACACCATCTAAATCTCTAATACCTAGTTGGAGAGTAATAGATCTGTTAGAATATTTTTGGGGCAGCTGATCTAACTCTTTGACTCCAAAATACTAAATGGCCAAAATATGGTGATAAAGAGTCATCTAAATTGAATCTATATAACGTCAACAAGCCTCTGAACTTTGTTTAACCCGCTTATCTCGCCCTGCTAATTAAAAAATTTACAAAACTCAAAGAATCGAATCGCAGGCGCCTGAGAATGTTTTACGASTATTATACGGCATGGAGTCGTATTATTTACAGGCTTATGACCAACTATTATATATATATATGTATATATGACTATATATAGGTACAGACATTTAAACAAGTGTGAAAATATTTTGATCGAGTTGATGGAAACAAAGTTTCAAGTTGCTAAGAAACAATGTAAGCTATTCTCTCCCTCTCTCTCTGTCTCCCTCGCTGTATATGTATATACATACTATATCTTCAACTATATAGGCCATGTCATGCATTTTATGGCGAAACAAGACTGCACTCCTTACCATATATAACGAACTTGAGGCGATTTGTGTGCATTTTGTTGTTGCTTTTGCTGCATGGCGAATCGAAATTCAATTGGAACAATTCGCACTTTGCACCCACTGTGCAGCTAACTAGCTTTCATATAATATATATAATATATAGATCGGCATTTGTATATGTGTGTGTGTGTGCATTGCATTTAATTCAGGCACACGAAGTCTAAAGTGTGCACAAGTCGCCGTTTGCGCCTTACGTGCACATTTGAGCGGGCAAACCCTGAATTGCCCCACTGTAGTAAGCTAATCAATTTCAATGAGCAACTTTTGCACTTTGATTTCGTGGCGGAGGGGCCGAGTTAGCGGTCAGGGCGGCTGCAGCGGGCGCTTGTTGTTGCTGTTGTTGTTTGTCGCCTTGGTGTGGGCGGGGCGCGTGGGCGGTGGGCGGTGTGCGGTGTGCGGTGCTTATGCAAGCCCGACAGTTGCCTCGATCATGCGGCTATTTATAGTCGCTCGTTCGCTCTACCTCTCCCTCTCTTTCTCTTATTGTCTGTCACTGTCCCACTCGCCTCTTGCATTTTGATTTCTCGATTCCATTATCAATCTCTTACTAGTTGCATTTCTGTCGCACATACCCTGTTCGCCAAGTAACGTAGAGTATATTCGATTTGCATACGCTTTGAGGATATGCCACGCCCACATATTGAACTATTCTCTAGCTTTTTAGTCGAGAATCAGCACTTTAAATAGATGAGCTTCAATTTCTATAGATCAATTCAAAGCTTTTTAAACAGAATATGATGTAGTCGTGTATACCCTATAGCACATACTCAATATATTATTCAAACTGACTTAAACTATAGTAGGGCATAATAAAAAGTGTGAAATATTTTAGCCTAAAAACTCTAACTTATCGAAGATTCTTATAAGTATGAACACAGTATATCCTATATATTTTTAGTATATACATAGTATATAGTGCTATACAAATTAGTTTAATCAATTGAGATCTTATTTATGTAAGCATATTTCAGGTATTTTGAAAACATGGAGCGTACAGGGTATCTGCTAGTCGAGCACTGCTGTCTGATATAGTTGGCATACGTCATATCTGCGCTTTATCCCTTTCATACCCCTCGCAATCATTGTTGGTCTTATCGGGCATGTAAAGCAATTTGATGCCTTTTCACAGTCGACTTGAACTGGTCAAGGCCCCAAGCGAAGCGCTACAAATGGGCCCTTCCTTTCTCCCTCTCTCTCTCTCTCTCACTCTCTCTCTCTCTCCCTCTCTCTCTCTCTCTCTATGTATAATACACATATAGAGCCATATCATTAAAATAGACGTATATAAATACATATATTATGGGTATTTCCATTATTATTCTTGTATGACATTCCCTTATCTCAAATTTTTCAGTGTGAAGGCGTAGTTCGCACTATATATTTTATTTCACTTTCGCACTTATCTACATAGGCATTTTTGCTTACGGCGTACACAATAGACTAAGCACATCTTATCTGGCGAAAACAAGAGCAACAAAGAAATGACCCATATAAATACATGTGCTAAACAAGATGTCGCCCGCAACCGATAGATCTGAGCTATGCGAAATTCCAGGGAAACTTGTGAATGCACTCGTGATTCAAGTCGCGCAGTCCGATCAAAATTTACATGCGACTTATGGACTCGATAGCGACTCAGCACAGAGTGCCAGGGAAGAATATATAAACAGACACGCACATACACACATACATACATATATGTACAGGTATACACCAGGTATTGGCATAGGTTCAGGTTCAATGAAATCGCATAAACAAAAATGAGACTAACGAAATTCAGTTATAGTGAAGCGATAAGACATTGGGTAAGCGTATAGTAAATAGGTGTACGAACTAGTTGATAGCTGTCCCAATTTCCAATAATTGTCTAGGCTCTATAAAACATTTCGATCTACCCCATCAATTGATAAGATGATATATCAGTGGAGATTTCAAGTAGCTGCTTCAATTCAATTGGCTCTATCTAGAACTTAATTTGTCTATAGGATATACCTAGAGTGTTTGTATTATATATGAACTTCAGATCGAGCAGCTGGTAGTTGTGAAATACTCGAAAATTGGTAATAACACTCCATACAGCCAAAGACGTAAATTGCTTTGTTATTAAATTCCAGACTAAACTGGAGGAATGCATATTTATTTTTTTCAGTTTTAGAACATCATAGAGAATTTTTATAATCTACGGAAACTTTCAAAATATATTTCTCAATCAATCAAAAAACATTTCGAAGAACAAAAAAAAAAAAAAAATTATTTTTTTTTTTAATTATTTCTTCAAAATATTTCAAAATAATGTATCTTCTATTTTATTTTCATAATATTTTGCATATGATTTTAAATTTCATTCTCATTTTCGAATGATATATGTAAATCTAGTTAAATTATTGGAATCTTTAAACAACCCTTATGAAAACACTCGAAAAAAAATATTATCTGTAAAATAACATGATCAAATACTCTCACCAACATTTCGGATGCAAATTATACGATATGAAGTTTTCGTAAATATTTGAATTTGAATTTATAAACACTAAAATGTAATTTGTTTGAATATGTAAAAATATATATTAATTATTTCTCACTCACAAATCGTTCGCATAGTAAATTTCTGTAGTCATTCACATTTTTTCTATTTTCAACCACTATAAACACTATTTTAGTTCGTTAGGCAACACTGCTGTTAGTGGAACTACACTTACCGCTGCCGTGGAGTTCTCCCACTTTTTGAAGTCGCGCCAGACGTACTCGTGCAACGGCACATTTTGGATCTTGATGGGATCGTAGGGCGAGGTCTTGTAGTAGCCATCCTCGGCATTGTAGTGCAGCGACTTGTCCCGTTCGCTGATGCTCTGGGCGCGCTCAACGCTCGCCGTGTTGCGCTGCCTGCGATTCGTTGTGATTGTGCGGGCGCAAGCGTTGGCGGCGCTGCGCAGACGCAGCATCTGGGCAGCGACTGGATACATTTTCATTGATTAAAGTTCGACCCTTTTTCGTTCCGCTCCTTTCGCTCTCACTCTCTCTCTCTCTCTCTGTCTTTGCTTACGCTCTTAGGAACGTTAGTTTCAACGGGAAGTTGCTTAAGTTGCGTCTGAGAATTTGTTTTGACTGTTGTTTTGGCGTTGCGCTGCTGCTGTTGCTGCCTGTCTGTCTGTCTGTCAACAAACACGTCTGCTGCTTTGGAGTGCTGAGGCACGACTGCCTGTTGGCGTCGCAGCGGCCGCGTTGCCGGCTCACCGGCAAGCCAAAACACGCTCGCACACACTCACACACTCAGGCAGGCACAAGCGCAGGCAAACAGATCGCGTTGGCGTAGTAAAGGGGCGTCCGTTGTTGTTGTTGCTGTTGCTGTTGCTGTTGTGCTGCTGCTTCTCTTCATTTTCTGTTTTACGCTGCGCGCTCATCTGCGCCTACGCGTTCATTTTCAAATGCATATTCTTGTTTTTGGTACCTTTACATGATCTCACTCTCACTCTCTTTGCATCTTTCTCTCTCTCTATCTGTTTGCCTCTCGCGCGCTCTCTTTGAGCAGCGAACGCTGCTTACACTCTTCTTCGTTCGGCTGCCTGCATAACTGTAACTGTAAATTAGTAGCCAGTGCAATTCCATGCTTATATTTGACACTCAGTATGTATGTAGGTACATATGTGTGTGTGTATAAATTTAGTAAATATTATTGGCATCGCTGAGGTAGCGAATGTTTCTTTGCAATGTATTCGCATGCATGTGTGCGTGTGTGTGCGCGCGCTTGCATTTCTCTCTTTATGCAGTTACTTAACACAAAAACAATTATACATGTATGTGTGTGTGTGTGCATGCATGCATTTTTAAAGAAAATAAATGACATTCTTCAATGTGTGCATGTGTATGTGTGTGCAATTGTATAGCACAATAAACGTTTGCCGATTATTATTTTGAATTCAAGCTAGTTACAGATGTTTTTATCGAGTACGAGTATGATTGGACGATAGAATACCCTGTAAAAATGTGGATAAGCGACTTCAGTCTATAAAATCTGATGTTAATAAACAAAAATTTGTGAACAAATCAAACGAACTCTATTTATAAACCCAATATTTGATTATTTCAACTCATATAACGCTATGCTTTTTATGGCAGATTGAGTTTTATATGACCTGGAATCTGGAACGCTTCACCCCCTACTCCCACTCTCAGTCCACTCCTTATCCATGCCACACATCAACAACTTTATTACAAATGATTTTATGACACATACGTGCATACATATGTATGTGCGGAGTACGTAGGAAGAAACGCACTGATAAGCGTTATCAGCCTCCATTGTCTTCCAGACTTTGTTTCGGCCTTGTGGGCATGACTTGCACTGTGGCTTATCGGGACGCTAACGGGTATTGTTATTATGGTAATTAAGCTTAGATGCCCGATTGCGGGTGATTAGCGTAGAAAGTATAAATCAGGTAGATTCTGGTCTAACCGGTAATAGAAACGTGGATTACGCCCGGGTCCAAAGTCCTCTGGAAGCGTGAGAGGAAGCGAGAAAACCCGAAACTCGCTGCTCGAAATTGGATGTGTAGAAAACCGGACCTAGGCATGGGCCTCTCGCCTAGGCCTTTCTTCCATTCGGAGGGCATTCAACCTTGCGCCGCCTGGCGGCCAGTTGCACAACTAAGCTGGACAACGGATCGCGGCTTTATCAATAACAAACAAACGCCCAGGTATTTGTAGCTCAAGGCCATTTCCGCAGCCGTCAATTGCTGTCTCAGCTTAATATACAATCGTCTCACTTGCCATTGTTTTGCGTTCGCTTATGTTCTTAGATTCTCTTCTTCTTCTTCGTTTTTCGAATGCACTTTTGCTGGCCCAGTGTCGCATGCTTCGTCATAGAATTGGCCACAATCTCAGCTAGACAAAGAAAGTTGGCAAATCTAACTCGTGTTTTTTTTTTTTTTTGGGAATAACTGTGAACGATCAAATTGCCCGATAAAAGAAATTGCTATAAATGCAGTCTGAGTCAAGGCAAATGGATAGTCCACAGTGCGTGTCAAGTGACTAATACATACATATATAAATTGACTACGTATGTATGTATGTACATACATTTGTATATATTCTTCTTTTAGCTATGATAGGGCCGCGTGCGCTCGCATTTGTGCAAATTGTCGCAATTTTGGTTGACATTTTTTATTAAATTATGCAAAAATTGGGGTAACTTTAATCAAGAGAGAAAAAAATTGTAGTGTATATCATAATTCAGTGTCAAGCTGTAGTTATTGGGAGAGCAAACAGAAATACAATGCGCTCAATGCTAATTACAACTAATCACAATAGCTGTTGGTGGTGCTCTCTTAAGTGCGCTCTCTGCCGCACTCCCGCTCCTCTCTTTGCCAGTTTTTGCTTACAGCTCGCTCTTTGCTCCCTCTCTCTATCTTTCTCTCTCTCTCTCTCTCTCGCTGGCAAATGCATACGCAAGTCGTGCTGTTGCATTGGCCCCCAGACACTTGTTTACTTTCTTGTTGCGCTAAACTTGCGTTTTGTGAACTTTGGACTCGGCGCACGGCGCTCAGCGTCAACGCCGTCTAAATTGTTGGCGCCTTTGCTTTCAGAGTGACGGGTCGCTCGCAGTCGAAGCAGATACAAATATAAATAAATAAAATAATCGTAATGCGATGCAAACCAGTTTACCGTTTCCCCTTGCTCTTGTTGTTGTTGTTGTTTTTCTTCTTGATTTCGCTGCTGTTGAGACTGCTGAATGTTGTGTTTGTTGCATATGGTTTCTTTCGCATGTATGTATGTATGTATGCCTGTGAGTCTGTAAGTATGTCTACAGGAATGCAGATATGCGTTTCTGTATGTCCGTCTGCATGCGTGTATGTAAATATATGTATGTATGTATATATATATATATTTACCGTGTTTTGTTTTGCGTGCGATCAATTACTGTTTGTTTTAAGATCGCTGCTGAGTGTTAAGTGATCAATTTAAATAGTAATTTTCACACGGCTTTTTACCCATATTTATATATTGTCTATATTTACATACATATGTATATAATTTTACATAGCTGCTACAGGTGCCACACGAAGTAATCGGTAATCGATGAATCTTTAATCGGTTTATTGGCCAAGCTGCACGCCTGCTGCCGCCTACGCGTCTCTTGAAACTGGACCACAGATTCGGGAGTCCCGAATCGGGACCTGGTTTGAGGTTATTTTGCCACCCCAATGCAAAGCGAAAACCCACCCTAGGTAAAGGGAAAACACAAGTGGGAAAACGCAAGTGACGCAGGCGCAAGTATTGGCTGACAAACACCAGATGGCGCTACCTCAAAGCTAGTCAAGAAAAAGCGCAAGCTGAGCTTTCGTTGAGTGGTTGCAAACCAGACCGAACAGCTGGCGAAAGCTACCGAAAAGCACAGCTCAAGCTTGAGCTTGAGTTGTAGCTTTGCTTACAGCTGTTCCATCCATATTCAAAGAGAGTGGGCGCGCGACTCAAAGAGCGGCCGAGAGCGCGAGAGCGAGTTGAGGACAAAGCGTTTGTGCTCGACGCCGCTCGAGTTCGTAACGGGTTCGTAGTCTACTTTTAGGTGCGTAGCCGCGCGCAACATATTTGAGCTAATTCTCAAGCGAATTCCTACACTGAAAGCGTTGCCCAATAAAAAAAAAAATAAAATAAAATAAAAAGAAATAAGAAAAATTCAATTCTTGTGCACTAGGTTAAAATTTTTTGTATTTTTTTATACATTTTTTTTTGAAAACACATCAAAAGAAAACCCAAATAAAACAGAATAACCAAAAAAGTGGCGCGGACTTGAAGCCTGCAAACCTGGCCAAATCCACGTTTAAGTCGGCAATTGTTGCACATAGCCGAACCCTTTTCCCGTTACACTCCCACAATATTTGCATACTTTTTTTTTTTGCGGTGTAAAAATATAATAAATTGGACATATACATATGTATATGTATGTATGTACATATATACATATATATGTATGCATAGGTATATATGTATATATATATATATATATTTCTATCTTTTTACATTTATTATATTTATGTTCATAGTGGAAAGTAAAAAACAAAGTGAAAAGCGAAATACGCGTTACAAGTAATCAAAATTAATATAAAAAGCAAAGAAAAAATAAACACAAAAATATAGAGGAAAAGCCAAAACAAGTGGAAGACAGCGATAGCACAACAAGAAAGCAAGAACCAGGCAAGAGCAAAGCAAAGCAAAAAGGAATACATTATTATTATCCACATAAAAGCAATCAAAAAGCAACAGCAACAAAAGGTAATCACTAAAGAGCCATTGCCGCTAACTTACACACGCACACACACACACACACACACACACAGGCAGACACACAACCGTACAGAGAACTCTGCCTCTCTCTCTCTCTCTTTTGGTTGAGTACTTCATGTATTGTGTAATGAAGTTGAGTTCGCCTGCTCCTGCTTCTTTTTACTTTTTCTTCATTTTTTTTTTGGAAATTCGCCGCTAAAAGCGGCGTCAACGTCGACGGCGAGGCCAAGCGTAATGTGCGAAAGTTACGCATGGCGTGAATGCGCGAGCGAGAGGCATAAACACACTTGTAATTGTTGTCTTAGAGAGTTCTGCTGCTGCCGCTGCTGGTGGCGACGCTGAGCAAAAAATGTAAGCAAGATACAAAGCAAAAACTTCGACTGCTTTCGTTGTTGTTGTAGTTAGCTGAAATGTGTGTCAGTTGTTAAGGCATAAAGGAATGACAACCACACACACAGAGGCACTTATATATTTAGATATACATATATATGTATATATATATATGCATACACGCACAGAGCACAATTATGTCAGCAAGAGGAACAGCAACAACAATTGGTCGCCTGCTGCTTTTTCAAGTGCAGCCAAAAACTATGCAACAGCAACAAAGAATCAAAGAGAGTCGCTGCCAACGCCGCCGTTGACGTCGACGTAGACAGTGGTGCAGCGGCGTTGCGGTTGCATAAGTGTCAACCGCACCACACGCGTACAGTTTGGCAGCCACTGCAGCTGAATGAAGTGCGCCAATGTTGCGTGGCTAACAAATACAAAAGGGTTAACAGTAAAAGCAAGAAGCAGAAGAACTAGAGAAAACAGAAGAATGACAGCAGGCAAATAAAGCGGCAGCGACGCCAGCAGCGCAGTTGAGTGAGAGGCAACGTGACACAAACACACACAGCCAGA